TGTGTGAGATCGGTTTTGAACGGTTCATTGAAGAGGCAAGAGGTATCGTTTTTATTTGCAGTACACTTTTAGAGACTCGAAATTGGAGGCGGGTTGCCAAGAACAGGAGGATTGTATAAACGTGGAATGAAGAATGTGGTTTGCGGTGCGGTAGAGTGAGGTATAACATGTCTGGCCGCCAGCACCATGGCCAAAGAGAGAGAGTTCCGAGAGCGAGAGACGTGAGCAGATAGTTTTAAATCCATCATTTCATGTGTTGGATGGGCATACAGCTTCCCGGTTGCCCATGCCTAGAAAGGGGGTTAACTTAGGGGGCCCCACCCGGAACCTTTGGCCATAGGGACCTGACGCGCAAGGCAGCGGGGCGAATTCAGGGAATCGCGCCCATTGGGAACCGGTGCCCGGTTACTCGGTTCATAGGCCTTTCGTTTGGCTGGCTGTCAAACAGGAGCCAATACTCCCAGTAATTCAGCGTTAAGCTGATTGATTACAATGCTCCAGCGAGGTGAAGCAAGGGGCAGTGACTTTATTTAGTGGCGAGTCACGTCGCAATGTTGTTAAACGGACATATGTGGCTTCTTCTAGGGAGAACGCTTGCCAGGCGAAAATCCACCACCTCCTGTAACACTTCCTCCGAACCTTTCGCTGGAACGGGATTGTCCCGAACCACCCAGCTGGCACCACGAGGAGGTAGTTAGGCAAGCCAGCTAGTGGCAAACAATACGGAATCTGCAACACAAGGACTATTTAAAATAAGAAAAAAGGATGTGGTGGTAAGGTGCCACACTTTGATACCAGTGGTTTAGCCATCGATCAAACTAAACGATTTCGTGCCAACACTGGAAGATTGTCGATCGCTACAAGAGGCGAACCGAAGGATAGTACGCAATCGATTTGAATCGACCTGAACGAAACTCGAACGCTGGCCGCGAATGCAATAGCACGGAGATGTGTTCTATATTTGTGAGTGGTTCCAATTGACGCGAGATATCAATTGAGCTTGCGTTCTTTGGATACTCGATTTCTGATCGAGGCCCAGACTTTGATATTTTGCTCCACAGAGAGTCACCTGACAGCACGCAACACTAAACTGATTAGTGCTGGCCGTCAATCGTTTTGGGCTATGCTTTACTCCATCGAAATCCAAGGCCGTACTCTCAGGGACTCACTCCTGCGTTGACCGTTGGTTATGATCAGCTAGAAGTCTTTCCAGAATTCAAATGCCTGGGCAGCTATATTAGCACCCGTGAGATCGCAGACGAGGTTACGAACCGTATGGCAAAAGCTCAAGGTTCTTTTTCAAATCGCCACCTAGGGCGCCGACGCGACACTACTCTCGCTCTGTAGGACAGAGTTTATAATGCAATCGTCCGTTCAACCCTCTTATACGTTGGCGAAACCTGGCCCACCAAGTCGAGGCTTGCCACCTTCGGTCATCGCTGCCTTCGCAGCTTAGCTCATGTCTGGTGGCAGCACCGCGTGAGCAATGAGCATGTTCGGCGTCGCGTATTTGGTGCAGAAAGGGCGAGTGAACCGCTCTGCACCATCATATCACGCACCAGGCTCCGATGGCTGGTCCACTTGTTACGCATGCCAGCACACCGACTCCCGCGCCGTGCATTGTTTGCGCGTTGTGGGTGCGGTTGGAAGAGGTGGAGGGGAGGCTAAGCGATGACTTGATCGAGAGACTGCCTGGCTGGAGTCCTATGGGTGATGAGCACGTTTGCTTGGACACACTTGCTGTTATGGCTAGAAGATGGTCCCAATTGCGTTTGTATTGAGTTTCTTTGTCCTTTCCTTTCCCCATTAAATTTCCCTCTAATTCCGATCCCATTCGAAATACACATGGAAGCAGCAGGAAAGTCGAGCTTCTTAAGCTTCTCCCGAAGAAGGTCCCTGATTTGTTGTATAAGCGAAGCGCAACTAGGTATGAAACGGCGATAAAAGTTAACGAGACCATCAAAGCGTCTTCGATGTTTAGAGGGCGAGGCCCGGGGTAGTCGTTGATGGCCTTAATTTTGTTCTGTAGTGGCATGACGCCTGCAAAAGAGATATGGTGACCGAGAGAACTGACCGAGTCGACACGAAACAAAATCTTTTCTGCGTTTGTCATCACCCCGTGTTGAGCCAAACCATCAAAAAGCGTTTGAACGTGGCGTAAGTGCTCCTCGCGTGAGGAGCTTGCGATTAAGATGTCGAGGTAGGTATAAGCGAAGTCTAGGCCGTGACAGACTTGGTCGATGAAGCACTGAAAGTTTGCGCGGCATTCTTTAGGCCGAATGGCATGCGCAGAAACTCGAACAAACCAAATGGAGTCGTCACGCCAGTTTTACGATGTTTGCTTCGGCTACCGGAATTTAGTTGTAAGCGCGCACCAAGTCGTGTTTACTGAGAACGTTTTTACCTGCCAGACTGGAGGTTAGGTCCACGCTATGTGGGATAGGATCGCGATCACTCGTGGTTACGTTGTTTTGAAATCGATAATCTCCACAAGGACACCAGTCCCCCAAAGCCTTTTATGGGACCATGTGGAGAGGTGACATCCATGTGCTGTTGGCTGGTCTTATGATACCGAGCTGAGGCATGTGATCGAACTCAACTCTTGCAGCACGTAATTTGTCGGAGCCGAGTCGCCTTGGTCTGACACTAGCTGGTGGACCGCACGTGAGAATGTGATGAGCGATCTCTGTCTTGACTGGCGGAAGCTATGCAGCTGGTTGTATCAGTCGCGGGTGTTCAGCAGTAGGTTCGCATAATCTAAAGGTACATCGACGAATCGGAAAACGGGAGTGATTATCGGGGCGTCCTTAAGAACGCTTTCAACCCTAGTTTAGTACGGCCGTCTAAAACTCTGTGGCGACCAGCATCAACCAGCAACCCAACATTGCGGAGAAACTCGATACCGATAATTGCGAAGGGTACAGACCCAATCGTGAAGACTCACTAGCAATCTCGGCGAAGATTGAGGTCCAGGTTCATCATGCGCTGATCGAATGAAGCTGTCGGAGAACCGTTGACCGCACGCAAATTGTACGTAGGCTTTGAGTGCTTGTCGTTCGCGTTCGCAGGGATGACGCTGACTTCCGCTCCTGTGTCAATGAGGAACGTGATGGAAGAACGTCGATCCTTAAGGTAAAACAAGCGCTTTGTTTGTTTAATGCCGCATAAGTGGGTCGTGCTATTATGCGGGCTATTCGTTTTCCCTGAAGCGGCTTAGTCATGCCTAATGAAGGAAGCCCTACAACTTCTAGCTCTTCCATCATATTGGTGGTGGTACCAACATAATTCTTCGACGGAACTGGTATTGTCGGACTGAAAACGTGCAGAGAAAATGCTGCGCTTTTTCGTCGAACGAGACGTACTCGGTGCAGGCACAGACGAGCCGCAATGAACGGTAGCCAAAACGTGGTCAGCACCTGACCGTGGCATACGCTGCTTCGAAGTCTTCATTGCTGCTATTCTGCCGCGAAGTAGCGCATTTTCCTTATCTTTAAGGACACATTGGCCTGACGACCTGGAGCAAATATGAGACTCGGTTTTCATCGGTGAGAATACGTAACTGGAGCTACTGGTCGTCTGCTTCGGAAGACGTTCGAACGCGTCGTCTGCCTTGGTAGCTGGTTCTTTCAGGGACGTATCGCGAAACATGGACAGCATAAGCGGCAACGGGTCTGGGAGGCGTGCAAATCACAGTTCCTTTATCACTTCTTCGCACAAGAATAAGGGACCAGCACTGCGCTGAATTTTGCGGAGCAACATCGACGGCTTGCAGTCCCCAAGCTTAAGACCATTGAGCTGTTCAAATCGAGCTCGTGCGCTGGGCTGTAACTCTTTTATAATCGCTAACTTCATCTTTTCATACTTTGCCTCATTCGCTCGGTATAGTAGAATCTCCTCAACCAGCGTCACAACCGACGAATGAAGGCTTGGGACGAGCTGAATGTACCTCGGACGGGCTTCATGCCCTTATTTTCCAGCTTGATCTCGAATATCGCAAACCAAACTGGGTCGTGTTCCATGAAACTTGGAACAACCAAAGTAAACATGTTTTCGCTGCGAAGCGAATTAGATGCCACTTTCAAAATGTGAATCGTAAAGATCAAGGATGCAAAAACGCTGAAACTACCAAAATTATGCAAGAAACAACTGGCTACACGTATATAATCGAGGAAAAGGAACAAACTCACCAAAAGATACAAATAACGAAAAAGGTTCAAGTTTGCGCGTGCGAATTGGGTTCACCAATTTGTAGGACTAGTAGATGCCAGTCCGAGACTGTGAGCGGAATTAAGCGCGGATATCAGAAGGCAATTGGAGTCGGACACAGCGGACTGTATTCGATGGGCTGTCAGAAGACGCGGACGGATGAAACGAGACAAGAGCAACACATTAGTGATACTTTCGCCTGACCTCAAATCTAATGAAGATACCAGGAAAAATGTCGATGCGACCTACAGGATGTTTCGCTCTATACGCAGAGCCTTCGCTCGCCTGACCCCGGGGCTCTTCCGGCTCCTATTTACTTCACATGTACGCCCGCTTCTCGAGTACGGCCCACCTGCCGCCTGCCCTCTTACGAGGCTGGCTTGCCGAGCAACCTCGTGGTGCCAGCTGGGTGGTTCGGGTTTTCCCGTTCCAGCGAATGGTTCGGCGGCAGTGTTCCAGGACGTGGTGGGTTTTCGCCTGGCAAGCGTTCTCCCTATAAAAAGCCACATATGTCCGTTTCACAACACTGCGACGTGGCGGATGTGACTCGCCACTAAATAAAGTCACTGCCCCTTGCCCCTCCCTGAGAGGCATTGTACTTTAAGGGTGCGTTGGGCCCCTGGTCCTTCACGGACCGAAAGGCGTATGAACCATCTATTTGGTCACCGGGTCCCAACGGGTTGCGACGCGCTCACGTCTCCCTGCTGCCTTGTAGGTTAGATCCTTGATCAAAGGCTCGGGGTAGGGCTCCCTAAGACAACCCTCTACTTCGGCCTGGGCAACTGGGTAGTATCATGCCCACTGACGAATCATGGACTACACCGCTCACTACTGCTACCGCTATGCCTCTCTTTTGTCCTAACTCAACCGCTCAACCTCCACTCACAGACCACCCCACCTCCCGTCCTTCACCTACATGTACTCTTATGTCTTCTACGGTCACCGTCACAAACGACCCACGTCTCGTAGCTGATGGAAGTAACAGCCAAACTCCCGGTTTTCAATGTCCTGCAATCGCAACCGTCTCTCACTTCACCGAAGCTCTAGCTCTCCTTCGAGCTGGTTCTCCATTCGTCCTTGCAATGTTTAATGTTCGAACATTGATGCAGATCGGACGACAAGCATGTCTGGCCCGTACTCTTGAAACGCTATCGGCAGACATCTGTTGCCCTTCAGAGACCAGATTACAAGACTCTAGCGCCGTCATCAGAATGGCCTCTCCGATAAACTCTGACGCCAACTACTACTTGCGGCTTTCCGGAGACCCAGAATCTGCCGCCACTGGTCAAGCTGGTGTTGGGGTTGTATTAAGTGCCAGGGCTGAATCAGCTCTGCTTGACTGGATCACAGTCAACAGTCGGCTATGTGTAGTCAGATTAAGAGGTTCATGTAACGTAAGCAGACGTCGAGATGTTAAGCGTGCCTTGTTTGTCGTCTCCGCCTACGCCCCTACAGACTGCAGCCCGGATGCAGTTAAAGATAGCTTTTACCAACAACTACATGAACTTCTGCGTTCCTCCAAAAGGACGGATATAGTTATCCTTGCCAAGGACTTTAACGCACGGGTTGGCCGCCTTATACCAAGCGAGCACCACATTGGGGGTAGTTTTGGTTTCGGTGGCAGTCGATCAGACAATGGTGACAGATTGCTTGTTCTTTGCTCTGATCATCGCTTGTTTCTTTCGAGCACTAGTTTTCGGCACTCGAGGAGACACACTGCTACCTGGCGCCCGCCCTCACAAACGCAAGAGTGCTCCCAGCTTGACCACATAGCGATCAGCTACAGATGGCGCGGAAGCGTAACGGACTGCCGATCGTACTGGTCAACTTTTCTAGACTCTGATCACGCATTACTTCGTGCTAAGAGTTGCATGCGTTTCGGAGGATAACCTAAGCGAGCTCACTACCGACCGGACGTCGCGAATCTACAAAACGCTGCGATTTTAACCAGGTACCAAGCCTCACTGTCAACCTTGCTTGGCTCAACTGTTGACGGTGATTTCGATTCGCAGTGGGCGCAAATCAAAGATGCGTTGGTTTCCGCCAGTATCGACACTTGTAGTGTTACCCGTCACCCACCGAAACATTGGATTTCCGCCGACTCCTTGTCGCTGATGGAGAGACGCCGCTTGATCCCATCGGATTCCAGACACAGTGAGGAACGCCAATACCTTGGTCGAGAGTTACGCAGGAGTCTGCAAATGGACTGCGAAGCTTGGTGGTGTGAACGTGCTAGTGAGATGGAGCTTGCTAGTCTCTGTGGTAATACCAGGAAACCCTTCCATCTCATTCGAGTCACCGAAGGTGTTCGATCTGGTATAAGTGAAACCATATGCGAAGAGGATGGCACCTTAATCACCAATCTTCAACGACGGTTGGAGCGATGGGCCGAAGATTTTGGCTCGCAGTTTTGTTGGCCCTCAGCTCCATCTGCTGCCTCCGGCGCGCGCGCTGGGGCCGAGTGGTCTACCCCAACAGACCCACCCTCTTCCCAGGAAATCGAGCAAGAGCTCCGGCACATGAAGCGTTATAAAGCTCCCGGCCCTGATGGTCTTCACCCAGCTCTATTTAAAGATGGTGGTGCATCACTGGTCGGAGAACTCACCGCTTTGTTCTCGAAAATTTGGTCGAAAGAGAAAGTTCCATCATCTTGGGGTGAATCGATAGTCGTCCCCTTCTTCAAAAAGGGCCTGCGCACGATCTGCTCCGACTACAGAGAAATAAGCTTAGTCCCCGTCATTTGCAAGCTGCTGGTGTCATCGTAATTCGCAGGCTATCCCCAACACGCGAATCGTTGCAACGTGAAGAACAAGCTGGGTTTCGCCCTGGTCGCGGCTGCATCGATCAAATCTTCACACTTCGCCAGATCCTCGAGCTCCACCATGTGTATCAGAGGCCAACGATTGCTGTGTTCCTGGATATCCGTGCAGCCTTCGATTCTGTTGATCGTACAGTACTGTGGCATTGCCTTCTGAGGAACGGTGTCCCCGAGAAGTTTGTCTCCATACTGCGTGCTCTATATAGTCTGACCTCGGGCAGGGTTAGGGCTTATGGCAAGCTTTCGCCTACCTTTGTGGTCTCCAGTGGAGTTGGACCAGGATGCCCTATCTCTCCGCTACTATTCAACTTTGCCATTGAGGATGTCCTGAAGAACGCTCTGAGTGATTCGTTGAACGCTGGCGTTGAGCTCCTCCCAGGTAGTCGAGTTGTTGATTTGGATTATGCTGATGATATCGTCTTGCTAGGTGACGATCCACAGGTCGTCCAACTTGCATTAAACCGCTTGGCTATTGAAGCATCAAAGTACGTTATGTACCTTTCGCCATCCAAATGCAAGGCTCTCCTTCAAGACTGGCAGGTGCCTCTGCCTGCACTCACGCTTGCTGATGAGACACTAGAGGTTGTGGAGAGCTTTGTCTACTTGGGAAGTTGTATCACTGCTGGCGGGGCTGTTGGAGACGAGATTTCGGTGCGCATCTCGAGAGCATGCCTCGCTTTCTCTAGGCTGAGGCATTTGTGGCGTCGCCACGACATCCGTCTCTCCATCAAAGGGCGGGTCTATTGTGCAACTGTTCGTGCTGTACTGTTGTACGGATGAGAGACCTGGCCCATTCGTAAAGATGACTTGCGCAGGCTTTCCGTCTTCGAGCACCGCTGTCTGCGGTCCATTGCCCGTGTGTGGTGGCAGCACCACGTAAGCAATGTGGAAGTTAGACAGCGTGTCTTGGGACGTGGAAACCACTCGCTCGAGGAGCTCATCTCACTGCATCAACTGCGGTGGTTGGGACACGTATTGCGCATGCCTGTCCAGCGTTACCCCCGTCGTGCGTTCTTTGCACTTGCTGGACAGGGCTGGAAGAGACGGTCTGGTGGACAGCCTACAACATGGAGAAGCCGCATGAAAAAGTTGACGAAACAATTGGCCTCGGCCGGTTGTTGTCGACTACCTGGTTGGGGACCGAGAGATGCGGATACTTGCTGGTTAAAACCTTGGAAGTTATGGCGCAAAATCGATGTCAATGGCGGACGTGTGCATCGGTTTGTTGCGGTGTCCCTTCTTCCTCCCCCTAAAAAAAGAACAAACTGAAAAATAATTTCAAAAACTGTGAGTGTTAAAATTGACAAAAAAGGCATTTGTTGTTGCTCTTTTCTTATTATTCATATTGTTTTCCTATTCAGCCATGATTCCGATGGCACAATATCTGTACCACAGATTGTGTAATATATATATATATATATATATATATATATATATATACCCTCTTGCGAAATTTGAATGTGATATGATTGAAAAGGTTCAACGGCGTGGGTCCAAATCTGTTCCTGAGTTGCGGGACCTGTCGTATTCTCTTCCGCTCAAACAACTTAACCTCTTCCCTGGATTACCATCGTCATCTCGGTGACTTGATCTTCACCCGACGTATTCTTAGAGGAGAGTTGGGGAGGGAATTACAGGAATTCTTTCAGCTCAACACAGAGAGTTCAACAAGAGGCCACAGTTTAAAACCGTTCAAACCGAGGAGTCATCGAGTGCGATCCAGTCTGGCTTTATCCACTCTCATTGTGAATGACTGGAACCGCCTTCTGGAGTCCATCATCGTTGCCGAGACCGAGGAAAATTTCAAACATTTATTGAATTCTCATTTGACTTTACGGGATCCAGCTGTTTCCAAGCAGCTTCAGTGGGACCTTATTCCACAGTGACCCAGGCTATCTCCGTAACGATTGGGAAGTGACGGAGCTGACAAAGAACCTTCCTTTTGCTCTCTATCATTCAATGATCCAATGATTAGCGCGGGAACTAACAAGACGGTCGAGTGTCGAGCCGGGTGTAGGTCAACATGGACGTAATTTAAGGGAGATTAAAAAAAGAAAGTATACGATTGCTCATCAGCGAAATTGCACACAAAAGATAAGAGTCATCTTTTGGACGTTGCAACCTGGTGCCCACGGAAATGCCCGATTACCTAGACCAAAATTGACCACATTACCATCAGCCATATATGGTGCACATCAAACTTTCGATCACTTTGAAGCACGTGGCTGAATTCACACCATGCTATAGTGCACACACACCTGGTGTCCACACTTCCCGCTTTGAAGAAGCGCCTAACTTGTAAGCTACTCACTGGTAACTTGAACGCACAGTCTTAACAAACTGGCCCACTAATTGTCAGTGATGAGTGATGAGGGTTAGCAGAACCCCGACTGGAATCGTTTTATGTGTGCCATGAAGAATGCTTCTGTTGTGCGTTGTGTGCCTGACTTGAGACGTCCGAACTGTTGGGTGAAACTATTTGGCGGCTGATCGGCTGCATTGTAAAGGAGAATGTCGGAGCACATATTAGGGCTTAGTAGAGTTGCTATTTGCCTTCCAGATTAAACGTGTCACATCGGTAGACGGACGATCTATCGGATGCAGCACAATCACTGCGTTATTGTCATTCACGTGTCTCTGAATGCCTGGCTCCTAACTATTCCGACCTACGATCATGCGGTTTTACCTGTCCTTCCTGGGCGTGCATTATACGCTGCCGTTGCATCAAGTTGCTCAAAACCACGAGCGGTCAGTCGTTCACGTGATACAATGACATGAATAAATTGACTGGAAGACTTGCTCGTGCCTGGCATATTTGTGATTGGGGACCTTGGTATGGTCCACCTCAATGGTTGAAATCTCTGTCGAGCATGGCGCACTCGCGCAGCCAGTAACCTTCCTGCATTCGGTTTCTTGCATCTAGCTGTTAACTTTCCGTCAAGCTTAGTTTAACGCACTTCTTTTTGACTATGTTTTCTTGACCTTCTACTTGTGTGTCAGTTGCGGCAGCTGGATCCAGTGCACCTCGGTGACCATCTCATAGTTCTTTAAACTGAACTGAAACTGAACTTTGCCCGTTCTTTCGAGTTGGCACCATTATTATTATTGAGGATGTGGTAAGGCACCACACGCGGAACAAATTAGTGGACAAGTTGAATTTCACTGAATCGCTCGCTTATTTTTTATAGCTACAATGGCCAACAAGTCAACGTCGCTTCGATGGCATCGGAAAATTTTTTTTTTGAATCTGATCTCCACCCCATCTGCATTCTCTCATAGCTGGTGCAGTCCAGCTCAACTGGCTGGACGACCCCAAGGCGGATGATTATGAACTGCAGTGCGGGACTTCACTGTGGTTGTGGTAATCTACTAGCCGTATATACCGTTCTTGAGCTCCGCAAGCGCTGTGAGAGCTAATTATTGCTTTGTGGTCAATAGTGCCACGCAATCCTATACATGCTTAAGGAAACACCGTTTTCGATGGTTGTCCATCTGGGAAGTAGTCGTGCACTCTTACGCGGATCTGGTATCAATCCTGGCATAATTGTGAAAAGCAAACCTTTTCTTCCGTCGTTTACCTCATGATACAGTGGATACTATTTGGGACGCGGGGCAAATAGTACTCCTCATACTGAATCACTTGGATGCAATCAGGAGCGTAGTGTTCTGGAGTGAAGACCCGGCTGACCATGCC